GGAATACTCGGTACATATGGAGTGCCGCCTGTTCGACAAGCAAGTCAGCTAATGGACGCCGTGTTTGCAAGAATACGTTTCTCAGATGAAAGAAAACGCCTATTTCTCGAATTTGTCAGTATATTTTCCCATGATCCAGTATATGGGGATCTTGTGACGAAACTAAGGAGAGAAGGTGAGCAGTAGCAATGTTGGCTTGGCGGGGCGGAATCTGACTTACGCCGCAACACATACAATTGTTTATTACGAGCCTTGCCTGAGCTAGGTGTCTGTTAGTCCAGCGACGATAACCAGTGGTGACCTTTGCCAAATGTAATTTTCAACCTTTCTCTATTGTCGAGGTGCCCCTGTTTTGACATTCGTTGGTTATTGACAGGGAGAATATGGAATGCCTACTTAGTAGTCTCTTGTGATGCAGATGTGTTCGTTTTGAAAAGGTAGTTACATAGCTGCTGAACTACTATTCTATCACGCTATCTGCATGTGGCATGTAGGGAGAGAGAAAGTGTGTAAATGTCAATTGCATTGCTGTCTACTTATAATCATCTTTGTAGCTGAGTTTCTCTAATCTTCAAAGTCACTGCCTTAGTAGTATTCCCAGGTCCACAAGCCGCCAAATTTTCAACCCTAGTAAATACTCATGTTCACAAAGACCATGTGGTTGCATTAATTAAGTCAACATGAGTATTGATGAGGGAGAAAAGCCACATTTTACACAGTAAAACAATGGCTGTTACCTTTTGGCGTGTCAATGGCTACTGCACTAGCAAGGAAACACTGCGTATCTGGCGATTAGAATACAAGGGCGAGAGTGAGCCAGAAAGCAACTCACCTTCAGCGGTAAAAGATATCCCCTAAGGTTTTTACTATACGTGCCCTCTGGAAGTTGAATAAATAGCTTCGGGTTTCAACTCTGCTCCTGAAGCAGGTGTTTACCTACAGTTCATGTAATCAATGTTCACTTCATACCTCCTTCAAGTGGTAACGTTTCCTCTATTCCTTTATTTCTTTGAGTTACCTTTCTTGGATTCTCTCTGCAACGCCCCTTCTTGGAAACTGCCACCCTAAATATTTTCGCTGTGTTAATAGTCTAAACTACATATTAAAGTTTTGCTGACTTGGCATGTCCTTAGTGGAAAAGGTTTTTAGAACTAATAACGTTTTAAACATGATTGTTAAAGTAAGCTGAAAGTATGCTGTAAGTATGTGGTGCCTGTATAAACAGTTTACACAACCACTATAAGCTATGGGTGGGGAGGTGAACGTGAACTCACTTTACGCCCTCTCTCCCTGAGCGTTATTTTCCACACATACTTTTTATGTGCATGCAGTGCAGAGTGGAGAGAGGTGATGCGAGTAGTCTCACTTTAAGTTGAAGCAATACTAATGTCATCTGCTTGACCCTCTCCACTCTGCACTGCATGCGCTTTAACCCTTTGGGCGCCATTTATATATATATATATATATATATGCACAGAGCCTCCATAAGTGCATAAGAATTTATATATGGCTATAATACTAGGCGCTAATACAGTACGCGTCAAAAAAAAACTTCCCATAAACGGCCCGTGCAACGGGCGCCCGTTCAGAGTAAACAGGGGCGCAACGGGGCGTGAACGGGAGTTGAACGAGGCGCGAACGGGAGGTGAACGGGGCGGCCCGTTCCCGTTTTTTGCCAGCGCTAAAACTTACGTAAATTGCGTTAATGTGCACGAGCGCTGACAGTAAGCAGATCCACGCACTGTCTAGAGCTGTAGAAACTGAAACTTCGTGTCCTTTGTCGTGGAGGACTTTGCGCAGCTCCTCCGCGGTGGTTTCGTCGTCCGCCCTCATCGTTTGCTCAACTTCCGCTTTCTGGCCGCCTCTCTATCTCTGTCTCATCTACGCGTACACGCCTCTGCAGCTAGCGACGATACCTTCCTTCGCTAGGTATTTTGCGATGGTAGGGGCGCAATGGCCTTTAGAATGATAGTAGAGCATCTGCCTCTTCGTGTAGTCCGAAAAAGGAGCCATAGTAACGTAATACGCAAAACGCAGAACGATCGTGTATCTACCCCGTGCACTGGTCGAAAAACGGTCGTCATAGAAGTGAACGAGGCGCGCAAGGGAGTCGAACGGGGCACGAACGGGAGTCGAACGGAAACGTCCGTTCCGTCGCACGGGCCGTTCATGAGAAGTTTTTTTGACATGTACTCTATGTTATACATCAATTTCTGCTTATTTAAGGAGACACCTATGGCGCCCAAAGGGTTATTAAAAACGTATGTGTGGAAAATCTTGCTCAGGGAGAGAGGGTCTATTCATCACTTAGTGGTTGTGTAAACTGTTTATACAGGCACTACATACTTACTGATGGCATACCTTTGCTTATGGGACATACAGCTGACTTTTGACTGATAAGGTCTCATGGTTAGTGAAGGCAGAATGGGAAAGTTGCGAAGATTCCTATGGTGTTAGCTAGTGTTATGACAATTTTCGAGGAGTCAGGTTAAGCTTTAGCTCAATACATTGCTGGCTGAGGTGGTAAGGTAATGCATTTGTGCACCGGAGGTCGTTAGTTCGAATCCTACCACTGCCTCTTTTGTCACGGCTTTTTTTGCATTGTTAGTGGCCTTAATGGATTAAGCTCATAATGCATAAATGTGTAGCGCTTACAACGTTAGGCAAGCTTGCTCGTTTCTCGTGAGAGCTGGACAGAATACTGTGTAATCTCTTCTTTCAAACCTAGCTCTGCCTGGTGTAACTGCCGGTGCAGTCCTTTTTACACACGTGATATGGGCACAGAAAAATCAGTGCGGATAATAGAGTATGTATGTACAGTCATTACACCTCACCTCTGCGTTCAGACATCAGCGGCTGATTTCTTCTTCCCATGCCTCTTCCACAGCCAAATGCCCCACTTGCTGTCGGGACCTTTCTCCGGCATGAGGAAGGAGAAAAGCCATAGTTTACACTGTCACACAGTGGCTGAATACAAGGGCGAGAGTGAGCCAGAAGGCGACTAACCGGGGCCCAAGAGAGCCAAGTGATTGAGGGACGAGCCCAGAAAGCAGCGAGCAAGCCATAAACCGTAGCGTTGAGCCCAAAGTTTGCATACAACCAAATGCGGTTTGCGGTTGCTGGTGGCGGTTTTGCCAGTATAGACGGGAATACACTGTACGCATCACAGAGTAGGCCTGTGTGTCTTTTACTACTTCTTCACAGCACCCGCAGTCACACACGGACCTGGTTTCCGAGACAGGCAGTACTAGTCCGCTGGACTGCTCACAATCTCAGTCTAACATTTTTGTCTCAATTTCTGCAAGTGTCGCTTTGCCGCTTTATCTCGGCTTTGCAGCAATGAAGGAATGCAGTTGCTAAGTAGTTACAATGACGTCACGTGGTTGCTGGGCTACAAATCTTACTTACCTTTAGTGGTAACAGACATCCCCTCAGCTTTTTACTATACACGCCCTTGGGCAGTTGAGTTAACAGCTTCGGGTTTATAGACTGCTTCAGAAACGTTTTCACTTAAGAGTATATGATACCTACATAAGCTTAATGTTTCCTCAATTACTATATTTTTAAGAGTATGAGCTATTTTATGTTGATTGTGTTGCACACTATCACAAAGTGTATTTTTCCCCATCCAAGATCCAGTAGCACTGATGTGAGTAATCGTCACTTCGAAGTTGACGCATACATTGTCATCTGCTTGACCTATCTCCCTTTTTCCCTTTTCTTTTTCTCTGTGTCTCTTTCCCTCCTGTTCCTCTTTTTCTTTCTTTTTGTTGAGTTTTCCCTTCCTTTTTTTCTTTCTCTTTTTGTCTCTTTTTCTCGTTTCTTCGTTCGCGACGTCTTCTTCCTTTTCTTCTTTTTCTTCTGGTTCTCTTTATTGTTTCTTCTTTTCTGTCTTTCCTTTCTCATCGCTCGTGCTCAAAACTATATGTAGAAAAGCAGGTTCGAAGAAGGGTCTACAGTCTTTCTGGTTCACAGAGCCCCATAAGTGAGTGTGTAAAACTGTTATATACAGGCACCACATAGCTACTTTACTTTGGCATACTTATGAGACATATGATATACAGCGACTTATGGTTAGTGAAGGATACTATCAGAAAGGGAAAGTCCGAGGGATTCCAATGGTGTTAGCATGAATGACAATCTCTCGAGGGCTCAGGTGAAGTCAATAGCGATACACTAGAGCTTGCTTGTAAGCTTAGGTGTGAGTAATGCACTAGGTTCCCCGGAAGTTGGTTGTTCTGAATCGCTACCACTGAGCCTTGCCCGCCTCTTTTGCGTCTCTGTGTAATGTACCACATGTTGTCAGCCGACGACTACACTAAATGCTAGGCTCAAGCTGGATCACTAAGTGTAGCCACATGTCCAGAAGTTCCTTCACTTCTGTCCTGTTGTGCTCCAGTTCGTCCGGGTGAGATGTGTTCCTGTGTACCAGGGGCACGCGGGTCGTGGGCAATAAGTGCACAGATGGGCAACACAACGCTTCCCGGAGGTATGGTATTCGCATGTACCTGCATTTCACTAATGGCCACTGACTCATGAGACTGTCCACCGTGCCGCTGACACACGAGTGTGACTGGCCTGCTGACGAGGGATAGACGGCAGGCATTTCGCCCATTACAAGCAGGGCATGCCGAACGGACAGTAGAAAGAAGCAGCGTGGTCAGTGTTCAGTCGATGCCTGCGACGGATTTCCGCCAATGCCAGCTGTAATTGAAAAACACTGAAGTGCAAACCCTCGGCGCATTGTGACGCGCACGCGTAAGTAAACGCATGCGCCGTACCACTAATTTGGTGGGCTGGGTTTAGTTTTAGCTGTTACTCGTGTCTCTTCCCAGCTCGCGCAGAGTCTGACGCGGGCTAACTACACTACTAGATAGCATGCGAGAGGCGATACACGCCCTGCGTTGCATCTTCTGGTGCCTCTGAGGTACGCAGAGCACGCGGATCGATCAGACCGTGGTAAGCCATCCCGTCCGTTGCCTATTTGCATATTAGCTTTTTCGCGCTCTAGCTCTGCAACGGAGCAGTTTCAGAGAAAACCCCACATATTTTCTGACCTTCATTGCCCGTTCAGTAGGTGGTATCCTTTGTGAGACGAACGAACACTCGAGAAGTGAGATGACGAGTAACAGACAGACACACAGACAGACAAACCCAACTACCGTAACCCTCGCTGCGCATGCGCGCCGAGGGTTAATGACTGGTGGTCTTCTTCATGATAATGTCTGCAGGGGCGACGACCTTGTTTGCAATACCTTTGATGATGTAATCTTGATGCAGGACGGAACACGGCATCGTACGTGAGCCTGCCATCCCCAAGCTTGCTTGTTTCCTGCAGCACAGGCAGATGTTTGCCTGACCCTTTCCGTGTGGGCTGCCACTACTATTGCGACATATGTCCAAAAATAAGATGCCCATGTTACAGGGAGCCAGACCCAATGTGATATTGTCAGGTAACATTTTACACAACCAAACGAGCCGGGATCGGACCTATGCTGTTCATCACCTTGAACAGCCAAGGCTAAGGTTTATAGTTAGGTTGACCAAGTATGGGAAGTCTCTTTCTCCGTGCTGCAGCCATCGTGATCAGGTGGATGTTATCCTGAAAAGGGAAAGGATGACCCTGGTGGATATATGGAAAAAGTGGAAAACACATTTTTGTGCTGCCCTATGCGCCTTCTTGATCTGCAGCCACTATTCAAGCACTCACCTGATGAAATTGGCACACTCGTATGGAGAGATTCTCCAACACCAAGGCAACTGCCGCTGCCACTTCTTCTCTTATGAGCAGAGCTGCGTCCCCGGGGACACTAGGCCACCACCATTGAGGTCGTTGCTGAGGGTGGGGAAGGCTCGTGGCCGTCCGATCCTCCGTACGAAATATGGAGCTTTGCCAAACCAGTTGTTTTTGCCACTAGCAGCAGTGTGCACCGATGCACACAACTGCCTGCTTGCACCTGGGCCTTGCTACGGTCAGCGTGTAGCGACCCACACGTGGCCCGTTTTTTTACTGTAAACAACAAGAAAATTGCCCCAGGCAATACATTATAATGGGCATACTACATGTGTCAATGTAACTCACAAGTGGTAAGAGCTATGTCAACGAAGGTTTATAGCCAACATCAAAATCACAACAATACATGTTTGTAAATAACAACAAATAGCCTCAGGCACTTTTCTCTAAGTTTACTTCTTCACTGCTAACATGTATAGAGATGAAACTTGGTATGTACGCCTCAGACGCTTCTTTTTTGCACTCCTCAAACTTGCTAACTGTAGCACACATGGAGGTGAAACTTGGTGCCCACGTGTACTACATAGTTTCCTTGGTGACCGCATCAACAAATAGCCTCAGGCACCTTTCTTTAAAATTACGTCTTTTCTCTCCAAGCCTGCTAACTGTAGCACGCATTGGAGGTGAAACTTGGTGCGCATGTGTAATACATCATTTCCATAATGACCACAACGACAAAATGCCTCAGGAACTTTCTTTATAATTGCTTCTTCACTCCTCAAACTCGCTAATAGTACCATGCATGGAGATGAAACTTGGTACGCATGAGTGTAAGATCATTTAAATGACAGCCACTTTGCTTGAATAACAACAAATAGCCTCAGGCAATTTTCTTAAACATTATTTCTTCACTTCTCAAACTCGCTAAATGTAGCACGCATGGAGATGAAACTTGGTATGCATGCATGTTACATCATTTTCGTGACAACTTCATTTTTCCATGACGACCACATGGAAGAACATCAAATAGCTTCAGGCACTCTTCTCTCCTCAAACTTGCTAACGGTAGCACTCAAAAAAAATGAAACTTGATACGAATGCGTAATAGGGATTGTGTGATGGGGTTGAGGGTGTCAGCATGCCATGCTTCATGTATCCCATCCCTATCTTGTCTCCCTTTCTTTTTATACCATCCCTATATACCTCTTTTTTTAATTCAACCTGTGTTGACACTGTAAAAATAGGACAGAATGTGTACAGCTAGACATTACAAAGATATAAAGACTAAGTGATCCTCTATATCCATGCTACCATTGGTTGGTCCTCAGTAGTAGATCCTGTAGCCCAGTGCCTTCTTTGGTGGCTATAATGTACCCCATCTGATGTGTGACCAAACTGTACGCTAGCAGGATTATGCATATTGGCTTTTTCACTTTTTTCACGGCATATCTCTTGAACTCGGTCGTTTCAGGGGAAACGCCATTTTGTTTCAGGCTCTCGTAGCTCGGAAGCCGTTGGTGTCGCTCATTAGCCGCCTCGTAGCCTGTAGTGCCAGAATATCTGGCGACAAACAGACACACACACAGACCAAGTACTTTAACCCTCGCTGTGTATGGGTGCTACTGGTGTAGCATGCCCTTTTTAAGTTTTTACTACAACTAATATGTGCAGTAGTATGACCTTTGAAGCACTTTATACGATTATTGTGCATGCAGACTGTCACAGAAAAGCATTGTCAGGGAGAGAGGATTTAGCTTCATAGACTGCATATAGTGCATTACGTGGTTGGCTCAGGTTGTAAACACTATTTATTGCCATACCAAACCCAGTCCCACATAGGAATTTTCCTCGGAACTTTGATGCTATTAACCACTTCTTGCCAATTTAGCCCGAAATGAAAGAAAGAAGTTACTCAGGGAAGGAGTATGACATTAGCCCAAACAACCAATTAGCAATGGTAGCAATGTGCTAGGCCAAGCAGGTAAATGATGCCCGGCTGTTCTCTAGCTGAATGGGGACATATAGTTTCAAAATCATCAGGATCAATGTGCCTAGACTCGCTTTAACTAAAATGAAAGCAACGTATTAATTTTGGTGAGCAAAGTGAGCTGTTCAGGATTTCGCACGGGTTTTCCCATGTATTTGGAATTGCACATATAGGTATGTGTCACTCTTAACATAATATGTGACAGGCTCTGAGAAAACGACCCTTATGATGCAAAAATCGCAAAATATGTTTCTATGCTAGATCGAAAGTGCTCTATAGTTTGCCGTTTGTTTCAGGGGCGTAGCCTGTTCCGTTGTGAAGTTATGAGCACAAGCGCAAGTGCCATGCCGCTGCATAACACGCGTCTAAAGTTGAACTTCCGGTGTCAAATTTCAACCTCCGTATTCTCGTAATAACTCTATTACGCGCGCGCGTGCATCCGGCCGCATTCATTGTTGCCGAGCTCATTAGCGCGAGGCAACTACTCCGGGTTGATATGCGTGCATACGTACGTATGTACGTACGTCGTCAATTAGTTGGGAATGTCAATTAGTAACCAAAAGTGTAACTTCCGTCATTCGTAGGAAGTCTAGCTTCCGCCGCGCGCGCAGATTCGTAGGAAGTCTGGCTTCACGCGTAGTCAATAGAGCGCGTGCACGAGCGGGACTGTTTACGCATTGGCTGACAGGCGCGTGGCAAAATATGCGCGTGCGCATTCCTAGTATTATTATACGCCGCTATGTAAATGTAGTAAAGGGGAATTCCCGTTTACGTGACACCGTAAACGGTTTGATTATTCCCGTGTTACGTTTCCTAGTAATTCCACGTAACGACGGCACGAGTAACGTACTTGCCTGATACCCAGGGCCATAACTACGGAACGGAGTTAGTGCATAAAACTTGCGCAGATTATAGATGGTAGACAGTGGGTCCTGGTTAATATCATACCTGCGGTGCATCCGAAAAATATGATGATATGCGGGATATTGTATAATGCGGGTGTGTATACTCTGGGTGTGTATACTGTGTATAGCAATGTATATTGTGAACTGGATAGCCCACAATGCAATTTGTTTAGCTAAGCTAATGAAGCTAGGCTGTTTACATAAGCTAATGGAAGCCAGGTGGAGAATGGAGGGTTGGCCCAAGGTTGTAGAATGCCTAATTACTCATGCACAATAATGACAATATGCGGGCAAATTCCTCAATTTTTCTATGGTAATAGGCGGGATATGACATTATCCGTATTCTATAAAACGGAGTAAAATGTACGGGAAAGTATAGGAAATGGTTTTGGATAAGTTTGTATGAACGGTATGATATTAAGTGGGACCCACTTTACTAGAATACGGGGAAAAACGGGAATCGGTGAATTACGTAGTTCGCCGTAAAACCGCCGCTACTACAATGAAAAGCACTGAAGGTCAAACCCTCGGTGAACTACGCACGCACGGTACCACTAATTGATGGGCTGGGCTTTTAGTATGCATTTACTCGTGGTATCCACGCTAGTAGCTCGCGGAGAGTCTGACACGGACTAGCTACAGTAGTAGATAGCTTGCGGGAGTCGATACACGCCCTTCGTTGTGACTTCTTATGCCTTCAAGATACATAGAGCAAGTGGCCCGGAAAGCCTGTTCAAACTATAAGCGCATGCGCATTTTCCGCAGGGATAAAAATGGCCGACTACGCATTAGCCGTACAATGGTGGAAGCGCTCTAGCTTTGCAACGGAGCGTTTTCAGAGAAAACCGTTCGAAATTTCTGACCTTCATTGCCCGTTCAGTAGGTGGTATCCTTTGTGAGACGAACGAACACTCGAGAAGTGAGATGAAGAGTAACAGACAGAAACACAGACACACAGACGCACAGACAGACCCAACTACCGTAACCCTCGCTGCGCATGCGCGCCGAGGGTTAACAATACTACGTGCGTGATAAGGGTCGTTTTCTCAGATCCTATCACATATAGGGTCTCATTTCACTATCTCCACCTTTTTTCAACTTATTTATTTTACTCTTCTTCACAGAAATGACTTCAAATGCTAGCATACTTGGAACACAGTTAAAAATCGAACATTTGTCGTTATTAAAAGATGTTCTTACATCGGTTTCACACAAATATTTTGTTCTTGGGAGCATGATGAAGGTTAAGCACTGTATGTTGGTGCAAATTAGTGAGGATGGATGTACCTCTGATGAGAAACTGTGCAAGGTTCTTGAGTATCGTTTAAGGCAGCTACCACTGTTGACATGGCATGACATAGTGAGTGCCCTCAGATCTCCTGCAGTTCATGAACAGGTCCTAGCTAGTCAGATTGAGTCCCAGTACATACCTTGCTCTTCATCCCAGTCACACCCAGTGAGTGACCAATCTTCTACCATTGACCCAAGTAGTGGTACTAATCCTCCATTGCAGGCATTTGACATGCGACATCACCACTACCCATATGTGTCACAAAATTTTCCTTCCTCTGTATCCTTGGCTACATCACAACCACTTCCTCATCAACCTTACCACATCCCTCCACAATTAGATCCTGATTTCCTAGTGAATCGTCAACATTTGTACAGCGGTTCCCATATCAACTATGGTACCACGAATCATCCATCACTTTTGCACCCTCAGCTTCAGCCTCCACAACATATCCTCTCTCCCCATTTTCCACCTGGTAGAACTCTGACTCAATTTGATCAGACACTACCTCATTTCCAAATGTATCATCCACCAATGCTTGAATCAACAGAGTCTGTATTTCCTACTTATTCTCCGGCTGCCAAAAGACCAAGAAATAATTCAACCCTTAGTCCCTCTTATCCTGCCAGTGAAGCAACAGCTGGTATTCCACCTATCGTTAATAAATTCATAGATTTTGTGAAGCAAACATACAGTGCTCAAGTTGTTGTGAAGGATGAAAAGTGGTCTCTTTCTCCCACAGTCAAATACATTAACCTCGCCTGCATTGACAGGAAATGTGTTAAAAGTAAGGAATATGAGAATGTAACAAAAGCTATGGTTCATGATGGCAATGTTGATGTCATACAAGAAACAAAGGGACCTATTAAGTTCAGTGCAATAGCGAAAGGGATTTCCCTCCCATCAACTGCTGAAGCATGTGCCCAGCAGGTAACCGATAAAAGGTTGATACTTGTGGAGGGGGCTCCAGGTGCTGGTAAGTCAACATTTGCGTGGGAGTTTTGTCGCAGGTGGATGTTGGGTAAGGTAGCTCAGCAGTACCACCTAGTGCTCCTGCTCAGGCTTAGAGATGAAAGAATCAGAAAAGCTAAATATTTAGAAGACCTTTTATATCACCCAAGAAAACATGTGGCTTCAGCTGTATGTGATGAGCTTCTAACTTCACATGCACTCCATATGCTCATCATTCTTGAAGGCTATGATGAGCTCCCTGATAGCTGTCGCAATGATCCTTCATCTCTTTTCAATGAGCTGATATCAGGAAAGTTGCTGCCTTTGTCTACCGTCCTCGTCACCAGTCGACCTTGGGCTACAAAAGAGATTCGTGAGAAGGAACATTGTCGCATGCATCAGCACATTGAGGTCTTAGGATTTACCAAATGTCAGATCAAAGAGTATATCAAAGAAACTGTCCCAAAAGAGCAGGTGAACGATCTTAATTCTTACCTGGAGAGACATCCTCAAATTAGATGTGGCATGTACATTCCTCTGAACAGTGCCATTGTTGTGGCTGTATATAAAGAAGGTGTTCAATGTGATCATGACAAATTGCCTTGTACCCTCACCGAACTCTACAGTTGCTATATAGAGATATGGATAAGACGACATCTGAGGCGTACTAATACAAAGCAGAATGAGGGGGGCACATTTGTTATCCCTGGTATAATTAATCTCTCTGTTTCGAAAGAGGTGCACAAAAACTTTGTTAGTATGTGTGAGTTGGCCTATACAGGAATTATAGGTTCGGATGACGAAGTCAAACTCATATTCAGCGAGTCTGAACTGCCACCAAACTTTGACAATCTTGGGTTGATGGACTCAGTCACTGAGCTCTATGTGACTGGACAAACTTCTTCGTCTCACAACTTCCTTCATCTCACATTCCAGGAATTCTTTGCTGCAGTTCACATCTCTACTATGCCCGAAGAGCAACAGCTGCAATACTTTAAGAAGAGTAAGACTGATGGCAGTGAGAAAGAAGGCAGGTTAAGGGTAGTGCTAAGATTTCTTGCTGGCCTACGCAATTTGGATTGCTTTACTAGAGAAACTGTAAATTACATTGTAAAGTTCCCTTCAACACCTGTGAGTAGTAAATATCAAACACCCTGTAACATTTCAGTGGATGTTGATGTTGTCAACTGGTTGTTCGAGTCTCAGAGTCAGACTGCTATTTCCCTACTCCTAGAAGAGTGCAAAGTAGAATTCAAGGCCAAGAAGAGTCAAATGATGCCAATGGACTACTACTCTCTCGGTTACTGTATTTCCCACAGCCAGTGCCAGTGGGTTTTGTCTCTTACTGGAAGGAGCACTGTTTCTAAGGAGAAGATAGTACTACTTGCTAATGGTGCTGTAGAATCAAATGGTGTAGGAAAAATTGTCCTACTTGGAGATGATATGCTTGTAAATTTGCCAACAACTAATTTCAACATGTTGTTTGCTAAGTGGAGTTGTCTTCTTCATCTTCATGAACTTTCCCTTTTTACAATACCGCAGGCATGGCCAGACCTATCTCACCTGTTGTCATTTTCAATAGAGGGGCATGTCGCAGATCAAGTCTGCATGGACCTTGTCAGTTATCTGGCCTCAACAAACTGCCTCAAGAAGCTTTCCATTAAGTTCGATTACTCCAGTGATGCTCCTACTTCACAGCATCTACTGGAGTTGTTAGAGACTGTATACCACCACCACACTCTTGAAGAGAAGTCGGTAAAGGAAGCTGCATGTAGACTAACTACAGATGATGACGTCAAAGCCTTGAGTCAAATATGCTCTCTGTATTTGGATTCAATGAGGACAGATTTTATTGAATCTGTTGGAGGACTAACCGATGATGGAACAATTGTCCTGGCTGAATTTCTCCAACACAAGTATAGTTTAGAAGAACTGGACTTAGACTTCTCGGGTACAAGTGATATTGGGGTTGTATCTTTGGCTAAGGCTCTCTATAATAATTCCACCATTTATGTACTGAAATTGTTCGGGCAACAGTATAGGTGTGAGTGGAGCAGTCTCTCTCTCTCAGACCCTTCGTCACAACTCTACACTCCGTGAATTAGCATTTACGCGGTAACAGGATTGGTGATGAAGGAGCAATAGCCCTCTCTGAGTCTCTTCATCAGAACTCCACCCTTAAGATTATAGATTTGAGTAGCACAATAGTATTGGTGATAGTGGAGCAGTAGCCTTAGCTGAGGCACTTCATCAGAACTCTTCCCTGATAAAGATTCTTTTGGCAGGTAACAGTATTGGTAGCATCGGAGCAGTATCTCTATCACAAGCCCTTCATCGTAACTCTACCCTTCTGGAACTGGAATTATTGCATAACTGTATTAGAGATGAAGGAGCAATAGCCCTCGCTCAGTCTCTTCATCAGAACTCTACTCTCCAGATCCTAGACTTGTCAAATACAGTATTGGTGATGAGGGAGCAGTTGCCCTGGCTCGAGCTCTCCTCAAGAACCACTCTCTGCAGAGGTTTTGTTTGACAGGCATCGTTGGCATTCTTGAAAGAGTCGCTAGTGAATTTGTCCAGGCCTTAGCACTAAATTCATCCATAAACGAAATGACTCTCTCTATGGATATTAAGAAATATGCTGTGAGATGTCCAAAGTATCATGAAGTAGAGAAAAAACTTCATTTTATGTAGTGTCTCAGTATTGGGTGCACAAAAACATGCATGTGTGAGTTGGTTCAGATGACAGTCTTTTCCAAGTACCACAAACCTTTGAGTTGATGGACTCAGTCACTGGACTCTATGTGACTGGAGAGACTTCTTCATTTCACAACTTCCTTCATCTCACTTTCCAGAAATTCTTTGCTGTAGCTCACATGCCTGAAGAACAACAGAGTAAGACCGATGGTTGTAGGAAAGCAGGCAGTTGTATTAAAGGTTTTTGCTGGCCTTCACAATTGGGTTGTTTTACACATTGTAAGTTCAGTGAGTACATTAATCCAGAAGAAGTATACCTACTTCGCAGACTACTACTGGAGTTGTTAGAGGCTGTATACCACCACCACACTCTTGAAGAGAAGTCAGTAATGGAAGCAGAATGTAGACTAGCTACAGATGATGATGTCAAAGCCTTGAGTCTTTGTATTTGGATTCAATGAGGAAAGATTTCATTAAGTATGTTGGAGAACTGACAGATGATGGAACAACTGTCCTTACTGAAATTCTCCAACACGAATAACAGATCATAAGAGAAGTGGACTTTAATGTTAAGGGTGCAAGTAAAAATGGTCTCATTTCTTTGGCTAAGGCTCTCTATCACAATTCCACCATATGAAATTGTACGGTAAAAGTATAGGTGAGAGTGTAGCAGTCTCTCTCTCTCAGACTGTTCGTCACAACTCTACACTCCATGAATTACATGTATCCAATAACTGTATTGGTGATGAAGGAGTAATAGCTCTCACTGAGAGTCTCAGAACTCCACCCTTAAGATATTAAATCTGAGGAGGAACAGTGTTGGTGATAGTGAGGCAGCAGCCTTAGCTGAGGCACCTCATCACAACTCTTCCCTGATTAAAGATTGGTTTGGCCCAAAATAGTGTTGGTAGCAATGGAACAGTGTCTCTATCACAAGCCTTCATCGTAACTCTACCCTTCAGGGACTGGACCTATTCCATAACTGTATATATTGGTAATGATGGAGCAATAGCCCTCGCTCAGTCTCTTCATCAGAACTCTACTCTCCAGATCCTAAACTTGTCAAATAACAGTATTGGTGATGAGGGAGCAGTTGCCCTGGCTCAAGCTCTCCCTAAGAACCACTCTCTGCGGTACTTTTCTTTGAGCGACATTGTTATTGTGAAAGAGTCGCTAGTGAATTTGTGCAGGCCCTGGCACAAAATTCGTCAATAAAAGAAATGACTCTCTCTAAGGATATTAAGAAAGATGCTGTGAAATGTCCAAAGTATTATGAAGTAGAGAATGGGTGAGTTAATAATACAAGAACAATGGGTTCAGATGGCACAATTTTTGCTGGCCTTCGCAATTTAGTTTCTTTTAAAGTCCCCTTCTACACCTGTTAGAAGTAAATACCAAAAACCCAATAACATTTCAGTGGATGTTGATGTTGTCAACTGGCTGAACTCTATGTGACTGGACAAACTTCTTCATCTCACAACTTCCTTCATCTCACAATTCCAGGAATTCTTTGCTGCAGCTCACATCACTGCTATGCCTGAAGAACAACAGAGAGATGGTTGTAGGAAAGCAGCCAGGTTAAAGGTTGTATTAAAGTTTTTGCTGGCCTTTGCAAATCTAAATGTGAGAGATGTCAAATAAATAAAAAAGCTTATGGATGTTTGCTCACATTTTAAGAAAAGAACTGCACTGCAGCACTTTTCAATGTTGTCTTCTGAAATTACTGCACATAAACTACAGGAATTATTGCAATCTGTTAGCTAACCACCAGCCTATACTTGAATAAAAGTTGTTGGAAAATGGAAGTCAGTGAAGGAAACTGAAACTACAGATGATGAGTCAAATATGCTCTTCATACTTCGATTCAAGGAGGGCATATTTTATTAGATCTGTTGGAGGACTAATTGATGATGGAACAATTGTCCTGGCTGAAATTCTCCAACATAAGTATAGAAATGGACTTCTCGGGTGTAAGTAATATTGGGGTTGTATCTTTGGCTAAGGCTCTCTGTCACAATTCCACTATTTGTGTACTGAAATTGAACGGCAAAATTATGGGTGAGATTGGAGCAGTCTCTCTCTTTCAGACCCTTCATCACAACTCTAAACTCCGTGAATTGCAATTAGCCCATATATAATAGGATTGGTGATGAAGGAGCAACAGCCCTTTCTGAGTCTCTTCATCAGAACTCCACCCTTAAGATTATAGGTCTGGGGAACAACAGTATTGGTGATAGTGGAGCAGCAGCCTTAGCTGAGGCACTTCATCACAACTCTTCCCTGATAAAGATTGATTTGGCAACAAACAGTATTCGTAGCAACGGAGCAGTATCTCTATCACAAGCCCCTTGTAGAGTAACTATACAGATGATGATGGCAAAGCCTTGAGTGAAATATGCTCTTCGTATTTCGATTCTGCAATGTGGATAAATTTATTTGATCTGTTGGAGGACTAACTGATGATGGTACAATTGTCCTGGCTGAAATTTCCAGCACAAGTACGAATCAAGAAAACTGAACTTTTTTGGGTATACAAGTAATGTTGGAGTCTTGTCTTTGGCTAAGGCTCTCTATCATAATGATTCATACACTGAAAATTAGTGTAGGTGATACTGGAGGAGTCTCTTCCTCTCAGACCTTTCATCACAACATTAATTTGATTTAGACCCAGTTATTGGTAATGGACGAGCAATAGTCTCACGGAGTCTCTTCATCAGAACACTACTACCAAGATCCTGAACTGGTCAACTAACAGTATTGGTGATGAGGGAGCAGTTGCCCTATATAGCTTGAGCTCTCCTTAAGAACCACTCTCTGCAGAACTTTGAGAGGCATCGGTGGCATTGGTAACGGGTTGCTAGTGAATTAGTGCAACCTCTAGCAAAAACCTCATCCATAAACGAAATGATTCTCTCTGGAGACATTAAGAATATGCTATGAGATGTCCGAGTTATTATGAAGTACATGAACAAACTAAAACTTGATCTTCGGTGGATAATGATCTTAAAAGGATAACCCTATGGAGCACACTAGCTACCTGGAGTTTGCTCTTTAATGTTAAGAAATGCAACGTTCTCTCTTTTCCTCCTAGATGCTGCCATGCTCAATTCTTATACTCCTATATACCATCTGCACAACACTCAGCTATTGTTAAAACAGTCCATAATGACCCTGGTGCCGTGTTGTCTTCCGATCTCGCGGAGTGGTGTGATATTTTGAATATACAATGGTCAAGGCATGCGAAGTTCTTGGATTACTCAGAAGTGTCCTTTCCTCTGTTCACTTCCCTCGGGCTAAAAAGGTTCTCTACATACCTTTGGTTCGTTTTTACTGCTTTACTGCTCTCCCATCTGCCGTCCTCATCTCAATTTAGCTACAAATTCCTTGGAAGCAGAGAGTGCAGAGGCGGGCCACCAAATTCATTCTAAACTACATTTCCAACATCGTCCTTGTTTCCTCAACCTTCATCTCCTATATCCTATATACATGTATCACTGTTGATGGTCCTTTATAATTCTGTTCTTCGTAAAGTGTTTGAAAGAGCCATCATTTTAACATCTCAGTTTCATCACATTCGGTTCTGACCAAACTCCACCAGCCTCACATTTCAAGTTGAGACACACTCTTCTCTTCATCTTGATCTCCCCCAACTTTGACACCTCTCTCCTGTGAACTAATCTAAGTATGTTTGTTGTTTGTTTTGTGTCATTGGCTACTGGTGTATACCTCTAGCTGACCTTCAGCACTACCATCCTGATATTTATCCTACCTCTTGTATCATGCCTTCCTTATGTTCTGTAAAGTCATAATAGTATATAACTGTCAAGGTTATTATAGGTTTTGCCCCAGATTTGGAGTTATTGTCTTATGGAATGCCTATTGACTGTTGATAACATTCTTGGCTGGAGAATTCGCGGAAGAGAGGGCAAGATCCAGAACCAGAATGCGCGATTACGCAAACTTTCTCGCGTAGTCGAGGGGTGACGTGTATATAACACAGGCCTTTACTCCACTTGTCATCGTTGAATAACTAGTATATAGGAGAATGCATTTTTGGCGAGCGGGAGCGAGCACACAATAACTGTATCTGCACGAGCCATCCTAGCCTATTTACGAAGATTGGAAAGCCGTACAGCCTCGGCTAGGCATCGAAGAACGCAGCGAATCCTGCGAATGTGGACGAGATTTCTAGATCTGTCGCTGGCTATATAGATCTCGTATCGAGGATCAGGCAACGTTGTAGGCTTGTAATCCAAATGCTTGCGCAGTTGTGGTCAAAAGTTTTGTTACCTCGTGTGTGATGCCTTTTTGTGTCGCACCGTAGCTATAGCAGAAAAGCAGCCGCTTCCGTTAACAAATAAAGCACCCAAAACCAGCCAGTGAAAATTACCTTCCCTGTCAGTAGTATATAGGTATGGCAGTTGTTTGAGGAATGCACATCCATCATGAAAATGTGTATATCAAGCATGCAACCTTCTGGCATGATGTGAAAGGTAAAAGGGAACTTTGCTAGCCACATGATGCCAGAAGATGATCTAATATATACTCCTTACCACATCCTGGGTGTCTTTTGCTGATGGGGTTGTGTCTTTGGCTAAGGCTCTCGGAAATAATCATCAAAACACAGAAAATGAGTGTAAGTGACACTGGAGCTCCCTCTCAGACCTTTAATCACAACATTATATTGATTTGGACACAGTTATTGGTAATGAAGGAGCAATAGTCTCACTGAGTCTCTTTCTTCATCAAAACTCTACTCTCCAGATCCTGAACTGGTCAAGCTATTTGTGATGAGGGAGCAGTTGCCCTGGCTCAAGCTCTTCTTAATAACCACTCTCTGCAGCAATTTTCTTTGAGAGACATCGTTGGCATTGGTAAAAGAGTTGCTAGTGAATTTGTGCAGGCCCTAGCATAAAACTCATCCATGAACGGAATGACTCTCTGCATGGAGATATTAAGAAATATGCTGTGAGATGTCCAAAGTATAATGAAGTACATTAAAAAAACTAAACTGATCTTTGGTATCTAATAGGCTAACCCTATACCTGAAGTTTGCTATTTAACGTTAAATATGCTCTGTTCTCTCTTTTCCTCCTAGATACTGTCATGCTTAATTCTCAAACACCTACCTGCACAACACTCAGTCTATTATTAAAAACAGTGCAAAATGACCCTGGTGTCATGTTGTCTTCCGATCTCAAATGGTCTGATATACAATGGTCAAGTCATACAAAGTTCTTGGATTACTTAGAAGAGTCATTTCCTCCGTTCACTGCCCCCGGGCTGAAACATTCTCTACATATTCTTGGTTCTTTTCACTGCTTTACTGCTCACCCATCTGCCGTCCTCAATTTCCATTCACTATACTTGCACCTTGGAAGCAGAGAGTGCAGAGGCGGGCCACCAATTCATCTCACAACTACGTTTCCAACTGTCGTCTTTGTTTCCTCGACCTTAATTTTCTATGTACCACTATTGAGGGTCCTTATATTCTGTTCTTCGTAAAGTGTTTGAAAGAGCCATCGCCCCATTTTAACATCTTAGTTTATCACATTCTGTTCTGAACAAACTCCATCAGCCTCGCTTTTCAAGTTGAGACACACTATTCTCTTCACCTTGATCTCTCCCATCTTTGACACTCTCTCCTGTGAACTAATCTAAGTATGTTCTGTTGCTAGCGAGAAATATATTCTTAGAGTTAATTAAAATGGGCTACCGAGGAGTGTTAAGGCCTGCGACACACTACTGTTGGGTTGTTTCTTGAAATTGTCATGTATCTGCTTAGCTATAACTGAGCTTGCTCCCTCTCCAGCTCCAGATGATTACACAAGCCTAAGTGCGACCCACACATTCACACCAGGAGGGGGAACCAGGATCCAGAAGTGCTCGACGATTCAAATATCATCTTGTTTCCTCGACCTTAATCTCCTATATACCACTATTGGTGGTCCTTTATATTCTGTTCTTCGTTAAGTGTTTGAAAGAGCCATCGCCCCGTTTGAAACTTATTAACCCTCGGCGCGCATGCGCAGCGAGGGTTACAGTAGTCGTTCTGTCTGTCTGTCCGCGCGGAGTTCTAGCACTACAGCTACGAGGGCGGCCAATGAGTGGACACCAACGGGTTGTGAACGACGAGAAGATTGATATTAACGTGGCGATTTCCCCGAAAACGACTGCGTTCCAGAGATATTGGCGTGAAAAACAAGCGAAAAAGCCAACGCGCGCGCAGGCTCTAGCTATATAGCGCGCACGCGTCATGTCAATTAATCGCCGGAGCATGCGCTACGCCACGTTGGTTCCACTCAGTTTTGATCTCTGTTCCCAATGGATAAACGATAAACATGCTGAGCAAGGTATGTTCGCAATGTAGCATAATAGGTCAGGTGGCGAGCAGTTAGTGGTTGCGGCCTTGCCTTCCCATCTATACAAACGTCTGGCGAGAGCATTGAAACACAGAAGAGCAGATAGATTGAATAAAGCAAATATGAGAGCCTCTGAAACCCTGAGCTATTGCTCTATAACCGCCAATACCAGGAATGCGCGGACACGCGCAATATTTATTACGACGAATGACGTAGCCCAGAGGGAAAACATAAATGTATGCAACGCAATGGAAGGCCAAAATGTGAGAGCTCTTTCTACGTTTCTATATGCAGGAAAAAACTTCCGAGCATCTGAAGATATTCATCAACCATTACCTATGTACCTCCACTAAGCCAACAGATGGTCAACTGCAGTTCTACAGGCTAGGCCAGAGACACGAACGGCCGTGCACCTCACCACGCCATAACGCCTGTACATTTCAATCAAAATTTCACGGAGTACCCGATTTTAAAACTTGTTTTTGTATTTGTGTGTAACTATTTTGACTTTCCGAGCATCTAAAATATAAGTTAAAAGCTGTTTCTTTTGAGTACTCAAAAAAATATACAGCGAAGGCCTACACGGATTAGGCCAGATGCAGGGGGAAATCGCTTATTTTGTAGAGATACTATACAATACATACGGAGCGGGCTTGGAGAGCCGACGGAAACTTTCAGGAACGTACCACTGGCTAAGCCTGGCTAGCTCTGAGATGAGATTGTTCATCTGGTTTCTAACCTAACCAAATAAGAGATCACTTGTGGTGTGGAGCCGAATAGATCTCAGACCACCAACACACGGTGCATCGGACCGATCCTCTATACTTCGGTTCCACTACTTCTAGCTACGCTTATACACAACACTCATAGCGATCCCCGATGGTAAAGATAAGCTGAGATGAACACTCACTGGGCTTAGGTGCACCGCTACAGAGTTTTCCCCGCTACTCTAAGGTAATACCTAGCTCTGGCTACTACAGTCACCGCTCACGCTGATGCGTCCATCCGGCGCAACCGAAACTCCGTTCATCTATCTGCCAGACGACGCAGTGTTTCAGTTAGTACGCTACCTGCATACCAGTAGTGGAACCTTCACGCCTACAGACACCAGAATGGTTCGACAGCAACGCGGGTCCGTCTCTCAGTCGTTATACCACAGTGATACCAGCAATCGCCTAGTTTAGCGGTCACGGTGTTTATTTCTGTACTTGCTTGTGTGCGCCATGTAAACATGTAAACCAGCTTGTTTACGTGTTATTCTTCGTCGCGCATGCGGACAGAACGGCGGTTACCATAGCTACGGGCATCTCTATCTGAAGCGCACTCATATTTCTCGAAGGAAGACAGTGGATACGCCAGCTCTCGCTACACCACTCTGTGTTGGAGAAGGTTTGACATGAAAACGTTGTAGATGGATGTCTGCCTGCCCTTCTGATGGTGTTATCCAACAAGGAACGGCCCGACCTCTACGCCCTGTCCTTTTCCGAGCGGAACCACCTTCCAGAGACTGACTTTTTCTGTGTTTAGTGAATGTGGTTATTGACACTCATTTGAATGTATGTTGGTGGATACCAAAGCACCTTCGAGTCCACTGCAACGTAAGAAGCTGTCGTGGAAAAGCCACACTAACTGGCGGGGCTTTTTCTTGGCCTAAGCAACTATCTACCCTGTGTTACGGTGGGACTCGTGTTACTTGCTTCTCCGTCGCGGACACAACGGCCCAGCTTCTTGGTGCGCCACCTGTTGGCCTTTGGCGAGAGTCTATTCTTTCCCCCTCCATGTTCTCTTGCCAAGAAGAAAAAAAAAAAAAAAAAGAAAGAAATCTCATTTTTCCTTTTCTATCTTTTGGTGAATGCGTTTTTTATGCGTCTGTTTCAGCCGTTTACCTTTTCGAATCGTCCGTACGTAACTATAAGATATTGATCGCTTATCTCCTCTCTTTCGTTCCACGACGTCCTCTTTTTTTTCCCTCGTCCCGTCCTCTGGTTTGCACTTTAGTGCTTTTTATTCTTAGTAGTTTCGTCACATTCTGTTCTGACCAAACTCGATCAGCCTCACATTTCAAGTTGAGACACACTCTTCTCTTCATCTTGATCTCCCCCAACTTTGACACCTCTCTCCTGTGAACTAATCTAAGTATGTTTGTTTTTTGTTCTGTTAGCTATATAATATGTGTCATTGGCTACTGGCGTATACTTACCTCAAGCTGACCTTCAGCACAACCACTTTATGCTCCCTCTCGTATCACATCTTCATTATGTGCTGTAAAGTCACAATAGTAACTCTGTCGAAGTTATAATAAGTTTTGCCCCAGATTTTGATGCGGAATGCCTTTTGGCTGGGGATAGCTAACATTCCTGGCTGGAAAATATTCGCGAAGTGGAGGCGTGTTTAGGCAGAGCCCGGGTGCTTGACAATTTTCTCGCGTATAGAGTAGCTCATCAATTATCGGACACCATCACCCAGACACAGCCATTTCTCTCGGACCAGACAGAGTTAGCTATCCTCGCTACGTTCAGCACCTCAGAGGGTGTCACTCAACAGGCATGCACAGTACCAGCTTCGGCAGAGGGATAGTAACGCTACGGCGGCACAAAGATCGCTCACCGTCCGAACCACCGTCATGGCCCCTATGTTCGGACAGTGCTTGATTTTAGAGCTAAAGAGACAACGGAGACAACGGAGACAACGTTATGTACCGAAAAAAACCTCTACACTATACTACAGCTGAACACGCCAGTACTGCAGCTGTGCGCAAACCGCCGCAATTATAATATAATTATGCACAAAGACTCCGCCCACGGGCTTCAAACGATTGCGCATGCGCATTTGAGGGAAAATAACGCGGATACTAGTTCCCGAAGGGGGACGAACTTACGGCATGTAACTCGCCTTGCCCTTGCAGTGAGTTGTAGGTATGCAAGACATTGCGGTCGGATAATTCGAAGGTGTCCGATAAAGAGTGGTGTCCGGTGAATGATGCAGTACTCTAATAGTCGATGGGGCGACTTGTAACACAGGGCTTTTACAAGCCTTTACTCAAATCTTCATCGTTGAATAACTAGTAGGCGAATGCATTTTTGGCGAGCGGGAGCGAGCACACAATAACTGCATCTGCACGAGCCATCCTAGCCAATTTAGCTGCAAACTTGCATCTGAGAAGCACGAAGATTGGAAAGGCGTAGCTACAGCCTCTCGAAGAGCGCAGCAAATCCTACCGAATGGACGGGAGTTCTCTCGCGGGTATCGAGGATCAGGCAGCGTGTAACTGTAAGCTTGTAATCCACATGCATGCGCAGTTGCGGTCGTTATTAACAGCTGTTACCTCGTGTATGATGCCTTTTGTGTCGCGCCCTAGCTAGCAGAGAAGCGGCCGCTTCCGTTAACAGATAAATTTTTTTCCAGTGTAAAGCACCCAAAACAACACTTCTATAAAAGGCAGCCTGTGAATATCACCTTCCTGTCAGTTGGTACGTCAGTTGTTGGAATGCACTTTGATGCCTTGACATGGGCATAATGTGAAAGGTAAAAAGGAACTGTGTTAGCCACATGATGCCAGAAGATGATCTAATATTCCTTACCACATCCTGCGTGTCTGTTGCTGACCACCCAGAATGACATAATTATCTGTTTCACCTATACAGTACAATACATGTACAGATACTGACATCCTTGGGACTGGCATGTTTGTGTGTGGGTTCTGCAGTGCCCACAGTTGTGCCAATGAATACCAGCGTGCCCTGGCAAGCACTATGCCAATCCCGAGCTGTTGCCCTGCAGCCTGTGGTACAGGAGAGGCTTTATAAGTACATTCCCCCACACCAACACTGGCAGTTGAGGCAATATTATGTGTGTATGTCCTCCAGAGCCGGGTGCATACATATACAGCTGGTAGCCAGACTAATGCACAGTCAGTACTAAGCACACCTACGAGGCACAGAACTGTTAGTGACGATAGTGTGCAGTTGTGAATAGCTATTATTCGAAAGAGTAGCTAAAAAGAAGAAAGATTTTGTTGAGGTTGGCTGAGAATGG